ATATATACTCCTTACCTCGTATTGGGTGACTGCGACTACCATCTAGAGGTTCACTTTGCCACCGAGAGAAGGGACACGTGAGCCGACCAGTGGTGTTTTTTGTTTGGAAAGAGCGGCTCAAAGTTATCGCGAGCTTGTCATGCTTGTCATTTTGAAACACTCGCACCATACGAAGCCTACCCATCGCGGCACGACCACGTCACTTGAGCGAGACCGAGAATTATGATGTGTGCTGGTATGCTTGATTAATGCATACTACTGAAGCCTGATAACCCAGCTTTAACAACCCTATGAGCCCTCCCAGGCAAAACAATGAGAAAGAAAGGGGGTATCTGAGCTGAAAGGAGAAAAGCCATCCCAAACCCTAGTCTGTCCTAAACCTCCGCCCTTTTCAACGCCAGTCTGGCCAACTGCATTAGGAGAAAATGAGGGGCTTCTCGCAAAACCCAAAGTCAGTTCCAAACCAATCCAGACCCAATCTTCAGCGTACTGATGCCGAAGAATCCGACTCCGTGACGGGGAAAGAAAGAACCACCAATTGTCAATAAGAAGAAGACGTGAAGCCAAGAGGAAAGAAAACCCAATGCCCAAAACTCAACCTCAAAGACGCGGAAAACCCAATGCCGATACCAGAACCTAAGCTAGCGATGTAAAAGTTGCTATTCGAAAGAAATGCTGCCTTTTGATGTCGTAGTACTAGTAAAGAGCAAGAAGAGTCCTCGGTGCTATGTGATATAGGTCGTGGACATGTTAGTTGCCGTGGCCGCCAGCCGACATGAACGTCAGAGTGTTGGCACCCTCGACGTCCTCGCCGTTGATGGGGTAGGTAAGACCAGGCTGAAAGGCAGGCTGAACGACCTGTTCGAAAAACGTATTAGCAAAGTCATTCCAAACCTTTGTAGAAATAAGCTATGACTTACATCGATCTGCGTGACGCTAGAAAGATCCGCAGTAACGGCCTGAATAGCCTGATCAGTCCCGTCGATCCAGTTTCTCGTCAGAGGGCATCTTCCCAGCTTCATGTTGGACATGATGGCCACGGCGTAGCCGCGCAAGACTGCAATCGCAGGCAGCTCGCCGTTGTTGCGCTTCATCTGCGTCAAGACAATGTTGGTAACCCAGGCACTGTGGACGATCTCTCGAAGTACAACGTCACACTGCTGGCGCTGAGTGAGACCGGCGGCGCGGATGTGAAGCTTGAGCTTGGCCTGAATCGCATCGAGGAGATCGCCCAGGTCGGCGGTGACGAGGCGGCGGCTGGCGTTGCGCTCTTCAACATTGGTGTTCGGGGCGATGGGCTGAGGCGGGAAGGCGTGCTGCTGAAGCGGTACGGTCTGGAAGGACTGAACCTGGCCGGAAGACTGGCCCTGGTTGGAAGACTGAGCATGGGTAGACTGAGCCTGGTTGGAGGACTGAGCCTGGCCAGAAGTCTGAGACTGGGAAGTCTGCGAAACCTGAGCGACTTCAGGCGCCTTGCCCTTCTGAGAGCTCTTGGCCTTCTGAGGAGTCGCGACCTTCTTGGAAACACCAACGGTGCCAGCGGACATGGAGCTCATGCTGGCAGTGAGAGAGTCCATCTTGCTAGTGTTCTGACGCTTCGCAGCCGGGACCTTCTCGGCAGCAGCCGCCGCACGCTTGTTCTCGGCACCAGGGTGAAGCTGAGGCAGGCCGAGGTGGCGGGGACCTTCGCCGTACTGAGGGGCATGGAGGTACGCGCCTCCGCCCTGGACTTGACCCTGCTGGGCGTATCCATGATCCTGAAAATGATACGTGAGTAAAAGAATTGTAGTGAAGTAGAGGTGCAATTCTTACCTGGGCCGGGATGGCCTGCTCGGCGAGCTTTCCCTTGGCCTCGGGAATCTCAGAGATCTTCATCTCCTCGACCTCGGGCTCCTCCTTCTTGACGTTGCCGCTGCCGCTGCCGCTGCGCATCTTCTCGTAGGTGTTGATGGCAGCGGCGCGGACGGGACGGGACTGCGCCAGTCCGACAGGAGCAGCCCTGCCCGCATTGGTGGTGGCGGCAGGGGCGGACCCCTTGCCGCCTGCCTCCGCGGGCGGGACATACTCCTTGTCGGAGGGCGCGCTGGAATCCATCTCGTCGAAGTCGGAGTCGGAGTCGGAATTGTAGTACGACTTCTTTCCCTTCTTCTGCTTCTTCTTGCCCGCCTTATTCTTCTTCGAATGCTTGGGCTTCTTGGAAGGGCGAGTGGTGGCGGAGGAGGAGTTCTTTGCCTTTGTGGGCGTAGAGAGAGCCAGGGACGAATTCTGGGTGGTGGTGAGGGTGGTCTGTAGAAGAGGGAAGGAAGGGGAGGAAATCAGCTTCTGGGTGGAAAAGACGGATGTGGGTGAAAATAGCGTACCTGGGTCATCTTCCTCGCAGAACTCTTGGGAGCAGAAGACGAGCCCTTGGTGGGCGAGGCATCAGGCGTGTTGGCCTGACCGTCCTGGACGGCGATGGCCACGGATGGCTGACCAGGAGCGCGCGATCCGGCAGCGCGCTGGGTCAAGAGTGCGTAGCGGTCCACCCAGTCGAAGTCGCCAACCTCATGAGCAACGTGAGAGCCGCGGTTCGAGATCTCGCCCTTGGCAACGCAGTCTCGGCAGACGACGAAGCCGCATTCTCTGCACAACTGGTGAACGGTCAGGGCGGCGGGCATCTTCTTGCAACAGTCGCAGGTATTCTCGCTTAGATCAGTCTTTTTCCAGTTGTCGTGACCACGGTCTCGGCCACCCGAAGACGCGGTGTGAGTCTTGAACTGGTCCATGACGATGATTCTGATGAAGTTCGAAGTGATGATCGTGATGGATAAGGGGTAAGTAAGCTCGTTGAGTTGCTGGTGTAGCGAATACTGATGGCTGAGATGCGAAAGAAAGCTGACAGTGTCGAGGAAAGAAACGAAAACTCGGGTTGTCGAGGGGAGAAAGAGAATCAAAACAAGAGAAGGCAGAGAGAAGAGGAAACAAAAAGTCCAGAGCTCTCGCCCTCCATGGAAATCTTCAATATCAAAAGAGCGGGTACAATAACCTGTGAATTGCCGCCTCATGAAGAAGCCCTAACCATAACGAGAGCGGGAGCAGTCGAGAAGCAGTGAGCCTCGCGTCCTCGAGAGAAATCTTCACCAGCAAGGGGTCATTGCCTGCTTCAGGAAGAAGCACGCATCGCAAGAAGGGCAAATCCAGGAAGATATGGAACTCTTGCTCTTCACGGAGACTCTTGATGAGGGAAGACTGGTTGAGAGAAAGGGGTAAAACTTCTACCAGCAATGCCTACGATCCATACTAGCAGAAGGGCAGATGTGAAAGAAGGGAACAGCTATCGATTCACAAGCTCTCGACATCAACATGATGGGCATATCAAAAGGGGTGAGCTTACAGACGATTAAACAAAGACAAGGAGAGCAAGAAGAATTCAGTGCTGTGATAAAGACTTTGAATTCCTATCAAGCAGATGACATACTGCAAAGGAGCTTACGCATTACTTATGATGACTTAAGACATCAAAGAGGCTGGGTGGTATGCACGCGAGGGCCTCTCGCAAATTTGCGAAGCAAAAGTTGCTATCCATAAATAAGGAACCTGGATATAAAGCACCTGATATACCTCGCATTCATCTAGGGCTGATGAGCTCTCATCTGATGTGTAGTGCCAGTGACAACTATGCCAGATCAATCGTAGAGGATGAGAATGATACTTAGTTGCGTTAGATTGAGTCCACAAAATCCCAGTGCGATTCGAAGGCTTTGATTGAGGGAGATCATCCATATTGTGATCGTAAGATTAATACGATGGCTAAGAAGGATCCGAGCCAAGGTGACTGTGGCGTCACTGGAGATGGATGGTACTCCCAGTACGTCTAAGACTCAGTTCGAGACGCGTACGGCTACCTGAGACGACCCCTGGGTATAAGATCTGATTATCATCGCTGAAAACTTGAAGCTTCCCATCATCTAGTGTGGGCTTGATCAAAGACCAATCATCTCGCTATGCGACAATAAGATCAAATGAGATGATTCTTGTTCTTGAATAGGCGTTGCGGCTGAAGATGAGAAGTACGGTCTTGTACGAACAGCGTATGACCATAACTTTTGTCCTCTCAATGAGGTACTAATATGAGGCCCCTTCTTCGAGGTGGAAAAAAAAAGACGATGAAGAAAGAAGAAACCTTTTGGCGTAGAATACAACCGCCAAGTTCAATGATGAGAGAAGTTCTTATTGATGGTCATGGTACACAGATAGGAAGGCTAATGACATACTGTAGGTACTGAAAGCAGGACATTGATCGATTAGAGTGGCCAGGTACCGCCTAGTCTGTGCTTTGAATACCGCAAGAGTTGGCTGTATTGCCAGACACGATTATCATCGAAGAAGACAAGAGAGGATGGACGACTTATGAACTGGGTGAGGCCCGGCACCGTGGATGAAGATGAACATAAGACCATTCCTAGATCCCTTACATCCATAATGAGTCTTCAGGGCGGCTAGGCACAGATACCGCTTCACCTAGGAAAACTTGTATAGTTTTTCAATGTAGTCATCGCCTTATGCGATAAAAGAGAGCGAGTTCCACTGGGGAACATGATTAAGTAAACTTGTGAAACTACTTGTTAGTTGCGAGCATATCATTGATAACGAAACCATGATTAGGAGATTCGCTGCGAAGTAACTGTGCGATTTGGATCCTGCGCCGCGACGCTTGTCCAGAACAGGCTTGACCACAACGGCCTCGAAGAACACCTGGAACCAGGGCGGGGGTTTGATAAGAAATAGGACCGTTGGAAGGGATAGTGTTTCATGCGTAGGGGATATAGTTGAAGTCGGATATTGAGCAGACGTGCTTCATCGGCCTGTTCGTCGAGAAAGGCAGAAAATGAGGGGTTGTAGGAGACAGTTGCTTGCTAATACAAGCCCATCGAAGGTTATTATGTGATTTCAATAGCACACAAATTGAACATTGCGCAATTGCAGATCTGGCAACAACATAGGTTCGTATTGCGTTTATGTCACAAGTGTGCGATTGGAATGCATGTATTTGTATGTGATACCTTAGATTGCCCGAAAAGTCAGCATATCCATCAGCATTAAGAAACAAATCGCTTGCACCCGCGGGGTCAAAGCTTTGCGGCGGCGCGGGGCACAGCGGGCGGGAGAGGGACATATCCGATGATGGACAGGTGCTGCTGGTGGATAGCCTGGAGTTCGATGGTAGTGTGTCCCGCCCGCCGTGCCCCCGATCGTTGCCAGGACGACTTTTGCACTCGACTTTTTGCGCAACGAAAGAGATTGGCTGGGCGCATAGGGTGGACGGCCAGTTACCGTAGTGACTGACACTTGACGGATAGGACGATGGAGGGTCCTCCTCGGGAGAGGACGGTAGACAAACGGGTAGGGTCCACAAGAGGGCAGAAATTGCGCACATGGACGGGACGAACGGGGTGGGAGAGGGGATCGGAGGCAAGTCATGACAAATGCCCACCTCTCTCTCTCTCTTTCTCTCTGCAAGTCTCCAGTCCCATAGATGACTCCGCAGGACGTCGGGGTCCAGAAACCTTTCCTCGAAACAGGATGGTGGACTCTTCTTCTCACGAATCGAACGTGGACCACGTTTCGGAGTACGGATGCGGATACATACACGACACTACATTTCTGTCGGTGGGAAGTTCAAGGAAAAAGTCGACGAGTGACGTTGGAAAAGGCGGGTACGTAGCCAGCAGGGACCCGCCTTTTGGGAACCGGCGCACTGTGTCGAGTGAAACGGCTTGAGAACATTCGGCCAATGGCGTGAGCCATACTTCACCGAGAGCTCGTTGATTCGCCAATGGGTCCTGCAAGCAATTAAACGCGACCCCGCTAATGGAGACGTGTCAGACGCGTCAAACGCGTGCGGCTCGCGACGACGCGCCGACCGCATCGCAAAGTTTCGCAGCGGGCACCGCCCACCTTCTCTCGACGAGGACGTTTTTTTTTCACTTTCTTTACTCAACGTCGTTTTGTGGCGCAATGCCCTACTGATTGGGCGGCAATCGCGGGATTTCCACATCTTTTCTCGGTGTAGTCATTTCTTCACCGCTCACCTGCTCTTCCTGCAAGTGCTGAAGCCGGCTGATGCTAGGCTCGACGGTCCGGTCAATCTTTGACAATTCTGGGTCTGGCGTTGCCTGTCTACTTGGGCCAAGGAAAGCCATCGAGAGGTTTTTTCCGCTGGGGTTTTGCAATTTCGCTTTTCGACAGTCGTTGAGAGCGAGGGGGGGAGGAAACTGAGAGAGTGCCCTTGTCGCAATCGCGAAAGTTGGAAGAGGCGGGGCATGATGGAGCGGATTTACCCACGTTTCTGATGCAAGCCATTAAAGACAGCCCCTCTTTGTGTGTCCAGGGCGCCTGGCATGCGGAGCACGACGGGATGTCGAACCCCTCGAGGCGGTCCGCCGCTCTTCGTCACAACTTGAGGTTGAAAGCCACCACCACTAAGAATACCACCACCACACCGCCATCTCACGCGCTCATGAACAACCCCGTGGCTACTCCGAGGGTGGTCCCGCATCACAGAGAAGGGGGGTCATGAGATCGTTGAACGATAACATGAGAGGCGGGCGTTTCGGGAGCAATGAACCGGCTTCCATGGCCAGGAGCACCCTCGAGTCATGCGTCATCTCGTCCACAACTTCCAAAGGATGGTTCAGGCATAGTATGTGTGACTGAGTATTTGGTCGTATAGCACGGTAAGTACGGAGTACTCTGTACAGAGTACCATGCGACGCAGAACAAGCTTCAGGAGGAGTCCGGTAGGCCTCTCAAGATTTGATTACGGCCTTCGAGGCCGAGAGAAGGTGGTATCCGGAACCAGAGAGATATGATGTAGTAGGGGCCCGATCGGAACATGTCGCCAGAACCGTCCGGTATGGCCCCTAGGGATCGCTCGAATCAAGGCCTAGAGACTATGACGGCAGCTGGCCGAAGCGCAGACGGAACGTGCTGCAGCACCAAGCCCAGATCCCTTTGTGCAATCCCAGCAGTCTCTCGATGGAAGTGGTACATAGTGAATGGTGAGTGGCGCAGCATTGGGAGCACTTTTTCTCTCCACAGACTGGCTGGGGGAGCACGAGCGTGAAGACCATATGTAACCGCCAATGGTCATCATCTATAGTCCTTTGCTTTCGGCTCATCTAGCAGATGAAACTTTGAAGCAATCGCAGCAACTGTGGATAAACGTGAGTGCATAGAGAGACTGAAGTGCTGTAGACAATCTTGTAGGGCCGAACTGACTGCAAGTCTGTCGTTGGAAACAATAGACGCCTCGAAAGTCGAAGAGTGTGGAAGCCCTGACTCGAGCTAGGCTCAACAGAGAGTGCTACGTTGGTTGGCCGTCCGTGTGTCCCATTGTGTGGGAGTTTGACAGAAGGGAGGGCGCGAGCCGCGGCTCCTTAGCGATAAAGTCTGAGCGAGCGCAGTAAGCCAAAAGGGGAAGTGTAGATTTTCTCTACATTCTTACGCTTTCCAATAGAACGGGGATACCAAGCTGAGGTGGATGTATGTCATGAGCCTCGTGAGGCCAGGTAGAAGGCATGTCCTGTGGGAGAGTATGTCTCGCATGTCTTGCAGCTCTCTTCTCGGCCGCAGAAGCCTAGGGAGATGGATGCTGTCCGATCGTTCATGGGCTCAAAGGTTATTGATTGGGCAAAGGGGGAGATGGGGACGAGATGAGGCAGAGACAGTAAAGATGAATGGTCTTGTGCCTTAGTCTTGCGACCACCTTGCATGAACAGGAGGAGAGACAGAAGAGACGGAGAAAGGGTAAGGTTGACGAGACAAATAGGAAGAAGCAAGGAGCAACAAAAGAGCCGGCAGTATTGCCTTTGATCGGAGGCGGGTGTGAGTGTGACAAGAGATCAGAGTCACAGGAAAAACGAAAAGGGCCAAGAAGGGGGAGGGGGATCGATGGTGAGTTTCTCTGCTATTGCAAGTTGACCCTTGCAGATGAGCGAGGGGCGAGGGATGAGGGTGTAGGGTGCAGACCCGAAGGTGAGAGGGAAGCTACTGCAGGTCGGTGAGGGACAGGAGAAAGAGGTGTGGGAGGGAGGGTGATGGTGGAAAGGGAAGAAGCAACGCCGCCGTCCCAGACTCGAGGTACCGCCCGAGGCGGTTGAGACACAAAATGGGCCCTACGAGACAATTTTCCATGGGAGAAGTCGCGATGGCGTACCCATTCGCGTGGCCTGTCCAGCCATTCGTTCATGAAGGCTACCTCGACCGTACCACGAGTCCTGATGGTGCGTACGTAGTAAGTCATATTGGACTGCAGACTGTTTCGGGTGCTTCCATCATCACCATGGCCATCACCATCACCATCACTCGCATGCCTCGTGTCTTTTAGGGCTTTGACGGATGTAATGTACAGACACCATGGATTGCTTACCTCATGTCAGAACCTGAGGCAGGTAAGGTAAGGTAGCCAAGGCATTGTATGACATACCCAGGTACGGAGTACATTGACTTTGGACAGAGGCTTGAGAGGAAAGAAAGAACGACGTAACGGAAGGGTCGGTCTGAATGAAAGCTCAGACCCTCTTGCCTCCCACTTCCATTAAAATCCCTGGCAAAAGCAATGGATACGTACCGCGACGTTCCTCGAGTGCTTCAGTCTCCAGACAGTGAAAGAGCTCGCATGGGGACACGGCCCAAAGTACTTGCAGCAGCATGCAGCTTGCGCGCCCACCCCCAGGGCCCCAGAGCCCCAGTCAGTGGACGGACCCTTGTCAGATGCTCCACTCTTGACTCCAGCGCACTAACAAAGCCCATTTTCGCCCTTGCCAGACACAAGGTACCAAGTCCCCCCCCCATGAGAGCCTTTCAGTCCTTCGCCATCCCATCTGCCACCTGCCACTCTGCCGCCATCCAGGTCCCAGCCAACCTACCTTTACCTACCTACCTAACTACCTTACTTACACTTACTTCCCTTCCCTCCCGTCTCCCGCCCGAACTTCCTCACCGACACACCACAACACTCACACACATTATTGCTTCACCCGCATTCCTCCCTCTCATTGCAGAAAACAAGACGACCCTGTGATTCAATATTGAAACACTTATCACTCTAATATCCTCGCCCTTAAGACCCCTTCGTCCGCCCCCTACAGTCCACCGGCGCATTCCAAGCCTCCTCGCTTTCTATCCCGTCGCATACTCGCGCACAGTCGCAAAAGTCTTTCCGTCGCATACCAAACCACCTTGCCAGCTCGTCATCGCATCGCGCGACACTCGACAGCGATAGCCCACGACTGCATACCGATCAAATCCCTCAAGATGCTTATGCCATCCGCCTTTTCATGCGACACGTCGCAGCCGCCTCTTACCCGACTCCAGGCGTCTCTCTTCGCATCGCCTCCCTCGAGCCCTCCTACCCTGTCAACTAGTAGTGGCTTCGGTCACATCTTGGACAGCTGCCGCTCTCTCCAAGCCCTTCTCTCATCGCCTCAGCATCAGAACATTCCCAGTGCCGCTCTCTCATACGACGCGCCGCAACAATACCTTCCCACGCCATCTCAACTTCCCACGCCGCCTCTCGCCCACGCGCCTGCTCCCCACAAACTGCGCCTGCGCTCGCGCGCAAAGCAGGATGGCGCCACTAACAGCGATCACCTTCCGCGCAAGCGCATCGCAAAGCGCGCGCCGCCACGAGGTCTGAACAAGCGCCGGCGCGCCGCCGATGAGGAGACGGGTCGTGAAGATGGTCTTCTTACAGACGAGGACGTCGAGAGCGATCTCGACATCTCATCTCAGCGTCAATCATTCGAAGCTACCAACGACAACCCTATTCCATCCAACCCTTCTACACCCAAACGCGCGCGTATCGCACCAGAGGTGATCCCTCTGGGCCTCGAGCGCTCCGACTATCACACACTGCACCTCCTCAACGGCGACGGTGTGAACATGAACCACAGCAGCATGGAAGCGGCAGGCGCACAAGACCCAACCGTGGAGGTCGAGGCCGATGGAGAGCGGTGGAGCGCCGAGGATGATAGGATACTCGTCGAGCTTGTGCTGGAGAAGCTGAAGCTCTCCAAGACGGAGTGGCAAGATTGCGCGCGCAGTTTGGGCAAGGACCGGAACTGCCTATCCCGGCGATGGAAGAGTCTCATGGTCCAGGGTGACGTCGGCCTCAAGAGACCTCGGAGGAGTAGCCGCAGGGCCAACCTTCACGGTACCTGGCGGTGATTTACCCTGACCTTGGCGTCATTGTCGACAGTCTGGGAATTTACCATTTTGTTTGTCTTGGGGTTCGAATGTGGCGTTTTTACAAGTACCAAACGGTCAGAGCCCGGAAACGGCTTTTGTGGAACATTTTAGGAGCGGTTGTTCAGCGCCTCATCTCGCGCTTAGTTGATCTCGAGCTTGGAACTAGCTTTTGAGTTGGGACATGTTGATTTCTTTGTTTTCTCTTCTCACGCGTGCTGCGTCACCCGAGAGCAAGCATACCTCATCTACCAGAATAGGTCATTGGAATCTCATTGCGCGAGATATCCTGTCACCTTATGTGCCTTATTACAGAGAGGCCAAAATACAAAAAACTCGGATACACTCAAAAACCTCTTAGGTGCTTTGCATTCTTGTGACTTGGATCTGCTCCGATTGAGATTGACGCCTCTGTTCCGTGATCGGGAATGAGCTCGCCATACGGAGTATCTCTGATTGATATCATCGACACAATACTGCGGTATGATACATGCAGCCGTGACGTTTAGAGACCGCATGCGTATGTCTGTCACGTACGTGGACGTTTTCAACATTACCAACCTTACGACTCACTACACTAGCTACCCGTCTGTCTTGTCGCAACTGGAACTGTCAAAGGAGCTGTCACGTCAAGCCCCTTCCCCCCCCCCCCCCCCCCCCCCACCCCCCCCCCCCCCCCCCCCCCCCCCGCCCCCCCCCCCCCCTTCCCTGTCTCCCTGCCTCAATCTGGACATTCAAAGGAGCTGGCACCTCAACCCCCCCCCCCCCCCCCCCCCCCGGCGCGCCGTTGACTTGTAGCCGCTCAGACGTCGCCCAGCCTTGTCAGCTTTCTCTGTGCCATGCTATCCGTAGCTAAATTGTCACTAGACTCTCTCTGTCCACGCGACAAGTCCAGTAGATTGATCGCCGGTCGCGCAATGAGCCTGTTGCGCAGCTTGCTTCCTGTATTTTTCCTCCCCCGGTTCCCCCCCCCCCCATCCGCCCCAGCCTCGCCGTCCCTTTTCTGGACTATTACGGACTACTATCGCAAGTAAGGATGGGGGATACCAGATTGCGATAGTTGTTTTCGGTAGCGCGGGTGGATCTTCCCGGCCCAGTGTCGTGATCGTTGGTCCAAGGGAAGGTAAGGTACGGAGGAATGGTGGCAGGAGGGTGGCTGGTCTTGCGTGTTGGGCCTAGTGCTTTTCCCCCGCCATTCCCATGTTGCAGCGCCTGATACGGCGCCCGTCATCTTTCTCTCTCTCTCTCACTTGGTTCTCGCTTCTCCAGGACAGAAACGTTACCTCGATCATCGCTCGCGTACAATACAAACAGCCCAATACAAATCATACCGGCAAACTTTTCTCGCTCTCCCCTACTGAGACAAGAAAATCGAGCGCCCTACCTCCTGGACAAACAGCAAGTAACAGCGTGGAAGCAGTACTCTGTCAGGTGGCGATCGCAGGACGGGACGCAAGGGGTGGCTGGTGTTATCGATAGTACGCCGCATCCCTCCCGCCGTACCTGAATATCTCGCCCTGTCCGGGGGTGTGGCCTGTACTCGGTAGGGCCAGGCCAAACCAACCACCGCAGTTCCCAACCTTTTGAAACGAGCCCCAGATGAACTCTTTTCGCCCACGGCAAGGGGAAACGAATGGGGTGTGGGACGGGAATTGGGGCGGGAAGGATAGGGACTGGATAGTGCGAACCCTTTTTTCCCTTGCCCATCCGCGCCAGCTGAACCTATCGGCTTGACGATGTGCCTGAATCGGCCGTGGGGTCGGGTCCCCCCTCCCCCTCCCAAGGGCCTGGACGGCTGGCCTGGGGGGGCAGGCAGGTACCCTGTCCTGTCTATTCAATTCTCTTCGGCGGGCTATTTCCTGAGCTCAGCTGTATGGACGGACTTGAATGGAGGCTGAGTTACTCGAGTAGCAAGTATGGTCAAAGAGTGACATCGGGATATTGGGCGAGTGAATGAGAGAATGAGCGAGCAATTCACTGAATGAAAGTCCGATTGATGAAGCGTAGAAAGCAGTACTCCGTATACGGATAACACCTGTGAAGCGTGTAAGTCGAATTCGACCATCGACGCAACTCACGACTTCTCTCGATGTCACAAAACCTCGGCAATCCCGTAAGATACGCGAAAAGCACGCGTCATGATAACCAAAGATAACACACTCTCCATCATTGTCTCAAGTCTTCAAATCGCACAAACAGTTTTCTTCTTTCTCGGTTGCATCCCATCAGATCTCATCTCACACCCCTTCAGGCACGATCTAGCTTAACCTTGGATCTTCTGCCCACTCACCCAGCAAGCCCTACTCTATCTACCATAGTATGACTACACAAAAGAAGAAGAAGAAGAAGAAAAACCCTCAAGATGCAGAGGGTAGGAGCTTATCACAGTACAGCATCGAAATGTGAAATGCAAGCAAGGCGAGCAGGATTTTGTTCCAACAGATTTAGGCATGAGCATCACGCATGCATGTCTCGCGGATCTGGGGCGAGGTAACGTAAATCATCACCGCGTCCTGGGAAACACCAATCAACCAAAGAAAAACCACAACATCAAGAAAAAAGAAACGACTTTTCGGCGACGAAGCCGACGCCGCCGCCGCATAAGCACGAATCCCACCCCCCCTTCCCCCCACCACCTTATAGAGAAGCATGATTCTGATCGATACTGTGCAAGATACCTCATTGTCTCGCCGGCCATCGCGCCGTCTCCGATCCAAGGGATGACTGAAACCCCCCCCCCCCCCCCCCCCCCCCCCCCCCCCCCCCCCCCCCCCCCCCCCCCCCCCCCCCCTCCCCCCCTCACCCACCCACCCACCAAAAAAAAAACCACCATTTCTCGTTATTATGTTGTTTTTTTTATTTGATGTTTTTTTTTTTTTTTATATAGCAACTTTTTCTTTCCCCTCCTCCCCCCCCCCCCCCCCCCTTCCACACTCCCCATCTCTTCGCCTACACGCTACCGCTAATTCGCTTCAAGTCAGGAACCAACAGGAACCAACAGTA